GTTTAATTAAGAACAGTCTGAAAAGCACCACTGATTCTGCCATGGATATGTATTCTAGATTATCCAGTGTAATTTGTCGCATGGAAATCACAAAGAAGTAAGGCTGCAAAGAAGAAGGGGGACAGAACCCTTAGATAAATACACCTCCAATGTGATTAAAACATGACTTAACATAATTACAAATAGATTTAAAAATGAAAGATCTAAAACATTGTTTTATTACTTAAAAACAAAAAGCCTTGCAGAGCATGTTTAGTAGCAGTTAGTGCAATACTTTTCAAGGACACGGTCTTGGCTATCATTTTCAGTTTACATTTGTCAAAATTGCTTGAGTTGAGGGTTGTAATGACTGCTTTGAAATCCCTTTAAAGCATTCAGCATGAACAGCACTGTAACATTTATCACTTTCCAGTGGCAGGACACCCACCCTACTGCTGTCAGGGAAACAATTTTTCACATTTAAGTTTTGAATTGCAACACCATTCACGTGCAGATGCATGATCCATAACAGAGTGAATCAAATCAGCCGGTCTCTTTGTGATTTAGTAGCCAAGAAAAACTATAGTTGCTAAGAACACCAATAATCAGTGCGATTTTAACACATAGTCCGCAGAAATCTAACTTGGGGAAAAAAACTAAAAACAATCAAACCTATTATGTTACTGCTGGGGGGAAAAGGCCATCAGCATCAAACAACTTTATTTAAATACTCTACTGGAACTTTGGCATAGGGCTTAACTGGTGTCATTTCATATATTTGTATATTCAGCAAACTTTGGTCCAAATCTAAACCTAATCACCACCGCTCTGAACTTACATACATAAGGTCCCCATTTTTGAATCCTATGTGCAGAAGTAACCATGTTTAGGATGTAAGAGATGGTTTTTAGAACCTTTTTCAGGGCTTCTCCTGTAGGAAAATGTGGGTTTAATCTCAATGCAGACATCCTGTATTATACACAGGCCAACTCAGAACCATACATTTTTCTGAAAATGATTAATGACCTAAAGGATACCGAAAACTATTTTTCTAAACTGTGATCTTGGTTCAAGTTTGATTGGCAAAGGTAACTGATTATAAAATATATGAATTTATGAGATAATTATTGTTTTGCTGGATGATATTGGAAATTGATATCTTCCAGCAATCTGTCTTTTATCTATGGGCAATTACCAACCTTGATGAAGATGATGGGCATGTTAGCCACCTTCCACCTGGCTAAAATGGAACATGCAATTAAGATCCCTAGACAGTTGAAACAATAGAAGCCACTACCTCAATCACAGGTGACATGGAAGGTCTGAGCAAGAACTCAGTCAGGGAGAATAACAGTTGTTCCTCTGAGAACTGATTCCGAAAGCAGGCCTGGAATATTAATTGGATTGAAGCTGTTTGTGTCTGTGTGTGCACGAGCAAGGCCAGCAGAAAGCCAGGGAACAGGTAGCATGGGCCTGAGAAGAAGCCAATAGAGAGATTTTGGGGCTGAGTCCTGGTTGGAAAGGCAGGTTTGGAACTGTGAGCCAGGAAACAGCCACCTGTTTATTTTGACTATGTTCAGAGAACAGGACTTGGTGTATATTCTTTATAAATAAACAAACAGGATGGCATCAAAGAAATACCCGAATCGTCCCAATTTCTCCTCCTAATGGAAGAACCCAGCAAGCCCCCAAGAACTTGCTAGCTACTAGGGGCAAAGAGGGACAAGATTATATTATATCTTATCATTTCTAAGATAACTGAATTATATATGTAACAATTAATTCAGTGCTTGTGAAGTGTGTCAGCCAGCGCTAGAAATTCAAGTCAACAATCTACAGAACAAGTACAGCCCAGCCAGCAACAATGCAAGCTTCTCACATACTGCTCCATCCGCTTGCCTGACCCCTTAACTGGAGGGACTATTTACTTCTAGAGGCAAACAGATAGTTCACTCTCCTGGCCCTCTTGACCAAGACAATTTACAGTGGTGTCCATTAGTGGTATCCGTGATGGCAGTTTTGTGATCCTTAGGAAGAGGATCACCAATTTCCATTGCACAGGCCACAGAGAAGGCAAACTGGACTATGTCCACTAAGAGTTCTTCAATCTAAAAACTGCACATCTAGCATACAAACTTTCAGGTATTTCGTGATTTCTTTTACCACATTTCTTCACTCTCCAGCAAAATGTTACCAGAAAAGTAATTTCTCTCTCCTAACTCTCCTACTACTACTACCACCGATTCTTGCAGTGAAATCTTAATTAGGGAAGGGTAAGAAAGTCAGAACAACTAAGCTATTCCAAGTCTAAAAAGTCCAACTAAAAGTCCAAACAAGAGATTCTGCCACTGCTCTCGGGTTAGTCTTCAGCCTGCTTTCTGGGCCACCTTAAGTCTTTCCTTCTTCACTTAAAGAGTTTCAGAGTGGTAGCCATGTTAGTCTCTATCAGCAAAAACAACGAGGAGTCCTTGTGGCACCTGTGAGACCTACAAATTTATTTGGGCATAAGCTTTCGTGGGCTAAAACCCACTTCATCAGATGTATGGAGTGAAAATATAGGAGCAAATATAAATACATAAAAGGATGGGGGCTGCTTTACCAAGTGTGAGGTCAGTCTAACGAGATAAATCAATTAACAGCAGGATAGCAAGGGAGGAAAAATCACTTTTGAATCACTGGTGATCTTCCAGAAAACACCATTCTAGCCACTATGGATGTAGAAGCCCTCTACACCAACATTCCACACAAAAATGGACTACAGGCCATCAGGAATAGCATCCCTGATACCATCACAGCAAACCTGGTGGCTGAACTTTGTGACTTTGTCCTCACCCACAACTATTTCACATTTGGGGACAATTTATACCTTCAAGTCAGCAGGACTGCTATGGGTACCCACATGGCCCCTCAGTATGCCAACATTTTTATGGCTGACTTAGAACAATGCTTCCTCAGCTCTCGTCCCCTTACACTCTCATAAATATAAAGGGAAGGGTAACCACCTTTGTGTATACAGTGCTATAAAATCCCTCCTGGCCAGAGGCAAAACCCTTTCACCTGTAAAGGGTTAAGAAGCTAAGGTAACCTCGCTGGCACCTGACCCAAAATGACCAATGAGGGGACAAGATACCTTCAAATCTGAAGGGGGGGGAGGGTGGGTAGAGGATTCTGTCTGTCTGTGTGATGCTTTTGCCGGGAACAGATCAGAAATGCAAGCCTTCCGACTCCTGTTAAGGTAGTAAGTAATCTAGCTAGAAAATGAGTTAGGTTTTCTTTTGTTTAATGGCTGGTAAAATAAGCTGTGCTGGAGGGAATGTATATTCCTGTTTTGTGTCTTTTTATAACTTAAGGTTTTGCCTAGAGGGAGTATCTATGTTTTGAATCCGATTACCCTGTAAGGTATTTACCATCCTGATTTTACAGAGGTGATTCTTTTATCTTTTCTTTAATTAAAATTCTTCTTTTAAGAACCTGATTGATTTTTCATTGTTCTTAAGATCCAAGGGTTTGGGTCTGTGTTCACCTGTACCAACTGGTGAGGATTCTTATCAAGCCTTCCCCAGGAAAGGAGGTGCAGGGCTTCGGGGCCTATTCTGGGGGGAGACGTCTCCAAGTGGTCTCTTTCCCTGTTCTTTGTTTAAAACGCTTGGTGGTGGCAGCATATGGTTAAAGGACAAGGCAAAGTTTGTACCTTGGGGAAGTTTTTAACCTAAGCTGGTAAAAATAAGCTTAGGGGGTCTTTCATGCAGGTCCCCACATCTGTACCCTAGAGTTCAGAGTGGGGAAGGAACCTTGACACACTCCTACTCTACATGCACTACATTGATGACATCTTCAACATCTGGACCCATGGGAAGGAGGCCCTTGAGAAATTCCACCAAGATTTCAACAATTTCCACCCTACCATCAACCTCAGCCTGGACCAGTCCACACAAGAGGTCTACTTCCCAGACACTACAGTGCTAATAAGTGATGGTTACATACCACCACCCTATACCGGCAACCTACTGACGCTATACTTACCTACATGCCTCCAGCTTCCATCCAGGACATATCACATGATCCATTGTCTACAGCCAAGCTCTAACATACAACCACATTTGCTCTGATCCCTCAGACAGAGACGAACACCTACAGAATCTCTATCAAGCATTCTTAAAAATACAATAGCCACCTGGTGAAGTGAAGAAACAGACTGACAGAGCCAGAAGGGTACCGAGAAGTCACCTATTACAAGACAGGCCCAACAAAGAAAAGTAACAGAATGCCATCAGCCATCACCTACAGCTCCCAACTAAAACCTCTCCAGGGCATCATCAAGGATCTACAACCTATCCTGAAGGATGATCCCTCACTATCACAGACCTTGGGAGACAGGCCAGTCCTCGCTTACAGACAGCCCCACAACGTGAAGCAAATACTCACCAGCAACTACACACCACATAACAAAACACACCAACCCGGGAACCAAACCCTGCTACAAACCCCGGTGCCAACTCTGTCCACATATCTATTCAAGGGACACCATCATAGGACCTAACCACATCAGCCACACCATGAAGGACTCGTTCACCTGCACATCTACCAATGTGATATATGCCAACATGTGCCAGCAATGCCCCTCTGCCATGTACATTGCCCAAACAGGACAGTCTCTACGCAAAAGAACAAATGGACACAAATCTGACATCAGGAATCATAACATTCAAGAACTAGTAGGAGAACACTTCAGTCTCTCTGGTCACTCAATCACAGACCTAAAAAGTAGCAATTCTACAACAACAAAAAAACCTTCAAAAACAGACTCCAACGTGAAGATGCAGAACTGGAATTAATTTGCAAACTGGATACCATCAGATTAGGCCTGAATAGAGACTGGGAGTGGTTGGGTCATTACAAAATTGTAGCCCACAAAAGCTTATGCCCAAATAAATGTGTTGGTCTCAAAAGGTGCCACAAGGACTCCTTGTTGTTTTCACTAAGCCCTGGTCTACACTAGGACTTTAGGTCGAATTTAGCAGCGTTAAATCGATGTAAACCTGCACCCGTCCACACAATGAAGCCCTTTATTTCGACTTAAAGGGCTCTTAAAATCGATTTCCTTACTCCACCCCTGACAAGTAGATTAGCGCTTAAATCGACGTTGCCGGCTCGAATTTGGGGTACTGTGGACACAATTCGATGGTATTGGCCTCCGGGAGCTATCCCAGAGTGCTCCATTGTGACCGCTCTGGACAGCACTCTCAACTCAGATGCACTGGCCAGGTAGACAGGAAAAGAACCGCGAACTTTTGAATCTCATTTCCTGTTTGGCCAGCGTGGCAAGCTGCAGGTGACCATGCAGAGCTCATCAGCAGAGGTGACCATGATGGAGTCCCAGAATCGCAAAAGAGCTCCAGCATGGACCGAACGGGAGGTACGGGATCTGATCGCTGTTTGGGGAGAGGAATCCGTGCTATCAGAACTCCGTTCCAGTTTTCGAAATGCCAAAACCTTTGTGAAAATCTCCCAGGGCATGAAGGACAGAGGCCATAACAGGGACTCGAAGCAGTGCCGCGTGAAACTGAAGGAGCTGAGGCAAGCCTACCAGAAAACCAGAGAGGCGAACAGCCGCTCTGGGTCAGAGCCCCAAACATGCCGCTTCTATGATGAGCTGCATGCCATTTTAGGGGGTTCAGCCACCACTACCCCAGCCGTGTTGTTTGACTCCTTCAATGGAGATGGAGGCAATACGGAAGTAGGTTTTGGGGACAAAGAAGATGATGAGGAGGAGGAGGTTGTAGATAGCTCACAGCAAGCAAGCGGAGAAACCGGTTTTCCCGACAGCCAGGAACTGTTTCTCACCCTAGACCTGGAGCCAGTACCCCCCAAACCCACCCAAGGCTGCCTCCTGGACCCAGCAGGCGGAGAAGGGACCTCTGGTGAGTGTACCTTTTAAAATGCTATACATGGTTTAAAAGCAAGCATGTGAAAGGATTACTTTGCCCTGGCATTTGCGGTTCTCCTAGATGTAGTCCTAAAGCCTTTGCAAAAGGTTTCTGGGGAGGGCAGCCTTATTTCGTCCTTCATGGTAGGACACTTTACCACTCCAGGCCAGTAACACGTACTCGGGAATCACTGTAGAACAAAGCATTGCAGTGTATGTTTGCTGGCATTCAAACAACATCCGTTCTTTATCTCTCTGTGTTATCCTCAGGAGAGTGAGATCTAATTCATGGTCACCTGGTTGAAATAGAGTGCTTTTCTTCAGGGGACACTCAGAGGAGCCCATTCCTGCTGGGCTGTTTGCCTGTGGCTAAACAGAAATGTTCCCCGCTGTTAGCCACAGGGAGGGGAGAAGGTTGAGGGGGTAGTCACGCGGTGGGAGGAGGCAAAATGCGATCTTGTAACGAAAGCACATGTGCTATGTATGTAATGTTAACAGCAAGGTTTACCCTAAAAGAGTGTAGCCACTGTTTTATAAAATGTGTCTTTTTAAATACCGCTGTCCCTTTTTTTTTCTCCACCAGCTGCATGTGTTTCAATGATCACAGGATCTTCTCCTTCCCAGAGGCTAGTGAAGCTTAGAAAGAAAAAAAAAACGCACTCGCGATGAAATGTTCTCCGAGCTCATGCTGTCCTCCCACACTGACAGAGCACAGACGAATGCATGAGGCAAATAATGTCAGAGTGCAGGAAAGCACAAAATGACCGGGAGGAGAGGTGGAGGGCTGAAGAGAGTAAGTGGCGGGCTGAAGACAGGGCTGAAGCTCAAATGTGGCGGCAGCGTGATGAGAGGAGGCAGGATTCAATGCTGAGGCTGCTGCAGGACCAAACCAGTATGCTCCAGTGTATGGTTGAGCTGCAGCAAAGGCAGCTGGAGCACAGACTGCCACTGCTGCCCCTCTGTAACCAACCGCCCTCCTCCCCAAGTTCCATAGTCTCCACACCCAGACGCCCAAGAACGCGGTGGGGGGGCCTCCGGACAACCAGCCACTCCACCACAGAGGATTGCCCAAAAAAAAGAAGGCTGTCATTCAATAAATTTTAAAGTTGTAAACTTTTAAAGTGCTGTGCTTAAAGTGCTGTGTGGCATTTTCCTTCCCTTCTCCACCACCCCTCCTGGGATACCTTGGTAGTCATCTCCCTATTTGTGTGATGAATGAATAACGAATGCATGACTGTGAAGCAGCAATGACTTTATTGCCTCTGCAAGCGGTGATTAAAGGGAGGAGGGGAGGGTGGTTAGCTTACAGGGAAGTAGAGTGAACCAAGGGGCGGGGGGTTTCATCAAGGAGAAACAAACAGAACTTTCACACCGTAGCCTGGCCAGTCATGAAACTGGTTTTCAAAGCTTCTCTGATGAGTACCGCGCCCTCCTGTGCTCTTCTAACCGCCCTGGTGTCTGGCTGCGCGTAACCAGCAGCTAGGCGATTTGCCTCAACCTCCCACCCCGCCATAAACGTCTCCCCCTTACTCTCACAGATATTGTGGAGCACACAGCAAGCAGTAATAACAGCGGGAATATTGGTTTCGCTGAGGTCTAAGCGAGTCAGTAAACTGCGCCAGCGCGCCTTTAAACGTCCAAATGCACATTCTACCACCATTCTGCACTTGCTCAGCCTGTAGTTGAACAGCTCCTGACTACTGTCCAGGCTGCCTGTGTACGGCTTCATGAGCCATGGCATTAAGGGGTAGGCTGGGTCCCCAAGGATACACATAGGCATTTCAACATCCCCAACAGTTATTTTCTGGTCTGGGAATAAAGTCCCTTCCTGCAGCTTTTGAAACAGACCAGAGTTCCTGAAGATGCAAGCATCATGCACCTTTCCCGGCCATCCCACGTTGATGTTGGTGAAACGTCCCTTGTGATCCACCAGAGCTTGCAGCACTATCGAAAAGTACCCCTTGCGGTTTATGTACTCAGCGGCTTGGTGCTCCGGTGCCAAGATAGGGATATGGGTTCCGTCTATAGCCCCACCACAGTTAGGGAATCCCATTGCAGCAAAGCCATCCACTATGACCTGCACATTTCCCAGGGTCACTACCCTTGATATCAGCAGATCTTTGATTGCGTGGGCTACTTGCATCACAGCAGCCCCCACAGTAGATTTGCCCACTCCAAATTGATTCCCAACTGACCGGTAGCTGTCTGGCGTTGCAAGCTTCCACAGGGCTATCGCCACTCGCTTCTCAACTGTGAGGGCTGCTCTCATCTTGGTATTCATGCGCTTCAGGGCAGGGGAAAGCAAGTCACAAAGTTCCATGAAAGTGCCCTTACGCATGCGAAAGTTTCGCAGCCACTGGGAATCGTCCCAGACCTGCAACACTATGCGGTCCCACCAGTCTGTGCTTGTTTCCCGAGCCCAGAATCGGCGTTCCACAGCATGAACCTGCCCCATTAGCACCATGATGCATGCATTGTCAGGGCCCATGCTTTCAGAGAAATCTGTGTCCATGTCCTGATCACTCACGGGACCGCGCTGATGTCGCCTCCTCGCCCGGTATCGCTTTGCCAGGTTCTGGTGCTGCATATACTGCTGGATAATGCGTGTGGTGGTTAATGTGCTCCTAATTGCCAAAGTGAGCTAATCGGGCTCCATGCTTGCCGTGGTATGGCGTCTGCACAGGTAACTCAGGAAAAAAGGCGCGAAATGATTGTCTGCCTTTGCTTTCACGGGGGGAGGGAGGGAACGGGGGGCTGACGATATGTACCCAGAACCACCCGCGACAATGTTTTAGCCCCATCAGGCATTGGGATCTCAACCCAGAATTCCAATGGGCAGCGGAGACTGCGGGAACTGTGGGATAGCTACCCACAGTGCAACGCTCCGGAAGTCGACGCTTGCCTCGGTACTGTGGAAGCGCTCCGCCGAGTTAATGCACTTAATGCACTTAGAGCATTTTCTGTGGGGACACACACACTCGAATATATAAAACCAATTTCTAAAAAAACGACTTCTATAAATTCGACCTAATTTCGTAGTGTAGACATACCCTTAAAGAGTGTAATGGAATGTTAAACTGTAATATACATTCAGCCACTAGGCGGCACTGTGTGTAAAATGGCTTATTTAAAACAAACCTCAGCTATAGCTGGCAGAGTACTAAAGGATCTTATGATGAACACATCTGGTGTGTATAAGCAAGCTCTGTGAGCAGTCCATATCTGGCATAGAAGAACATCACATGGTGTCAGGAGTAAACTCAGAACAGAAATAGAAGGAAAACAGCATCAAAGGCTGCAGGATCTTAAACACCCCCCAAAGAACTTCAGCTTTGACAAACTTTCAGAATGGACAGACTGGGAATGTAATTTTTTGGGGTGCAAAATATTATCAAAGCAGTCAGGGAGTTCACTCATACTACAGACAATCAAGAGCCATTGTTCTGGGATCTATCACTTTTGATGACACAGAACCTGCCTCAAGAGTGAAACCGAATATTCACGGCAAGACTATTGACTTTAAAATTGACTCAGGAGCTGATATCACAGCCATCTCAGAAGGGACTTACAATCATTATCAACCCCTCCCTGAGCTGTAGTCACCTGACACAGCTCTGAATAGCCCTGGAGATTTTCTGAATTGCATGGGCTAGTTCACCACAGAAACAACTTACAAAGACAGAGTTTGTGTGATCAAAGGATCAAAGACCATCAACCTTCTCCAGTACAGTTTGACAGTCATGATGGGCCTACTGAGAAAGAAGGAAGAACTCAACGGAAGATTTGAGTATATTGGACTTTTGAAAGGAGATCCAGTACAAATCAATTTAGGAAACATAAGAACTGCCATACTGGGTCAGAACAAAGGTCCATCTAGCCCAGGGATGGCCAACCTGTGGCTCCAGAGCCACATGCAGCTCTTCAGAAGTAAATATGCGGCTCCTTGTACAGGCACCATCTCCGGGGCTGGAGCTACAGGTGCCAACTTTCCAATGGGCCAGGGGGTGCTCACTGCTCAACTCTTGCCTCTGCTACGGGGCCCTGCCCCCACTCCACCTCTTTCAGCCTCCTACCCTGAGCCTGCAGTGCCCTCGCTCCTCCTCCGCCCGCCCCAGAGCTTCCTGCATGCCACAAAACAGCTGATCAGAAGGTGTGGGGAGGGAGGAGGAATCACTGATCTGCGGGGCTGCCAGTGGGCCGGAGGCGCTGGGAGCAGGGGTAAGCAGCTGATGGGGGGCTGCTGACTTATTACCGTGGCTCTTTGGCAATGTACATTGGTAAATTCTGGCTCCTTCTCAGGCTCAGGTTGGCCACCCCTATCTAGCCCATCATCCTGTCTTCCGACAGTGGCCAATGCCAGGTTCCCCAGAGGGAATGAACAGAACAGTAATCATCAAGTGATCCATCCCCTAGCCCATTCCCAGCTTCTGGCAAATAGAGGCTAGGGACACCATCCCTGCACATCCTGGCTAATAGCCACTGATGGACCTATCCTCCATGAATTTATCTAGTTCTTTTTTGAACCCTGTTATAGTCTTGGCCTTCACAACATCTTCTGGCAAAGAGCTCCACAGGCTGACTGTGTGTTGTGTGAATACTTCTTTTTGTTTGTTTTAAACCTGCTGCCAGTTAATTTCATTTGATGACCCCTAGTTCTTGTGTTATGAGAAGGAGTAAATAACACTTCCTTATTTACTTTCTCCACTCCAGTCATGATTTTATAGACCTCAATCATATCCCCCCTTAGTTGTCTCTTTTCCAAGTTGAAAAGTCCTAGTCTTATTAATCTCTCCACATACAGAAGCCATTCCATACCCCTAATCATTTTTGTTGCCCTTTTCTGATTTCAATATATCTTTTTGAGACAGGGCGACCACACCTGCACACTGTATTCAAGATGTGGGTGTACCATGGATTTATATAGAGAATATATGATATTTTCTGTCTTATTATCTATCCCTTTCCTAATGATTCCCAACACTCTGTTCACTTTTTTGACAATGTACAAACACCTCTACCAGAGAGACCTTAGAAGAAACTAGCTTCATATTTATACACATTCAAAGGACATCATCATTACCTGGTCATCATGGACTATTTTTCCAGCTATAACTTTCAATGTTATTGAGAAACCAAAGTGCACTTTTGCTCATTTTGATGTTCCAGAACAACTAGTGACAGAGAACAGACCACAATTCACTGCAGCAGAAGTTAAGTCATTCCAAATGAAATATGATTTTGATCATATTACCAGCAGCCCACATTACTCACAAGTAAAAGGACAGGCTGACAGAGCTATACATGCAGCCAAGAAAATCCTACAGGAGGAAGACTCATTTCTTGCTCTTCTGAGTTACAGATCAACACCAAAAGCAGTATGGATATAGTCCAGCACAACTCCTGATGGGAAGACAACTCAAAACCAAGATTCTCTTCCAAATTCAGAACAGATCTCCAAAGTGGCCAGTCATGAAAACAGTAGCAAAAATTGAATAAAAAGGAAAAAGAGCTTATGGACACTTGTACAACAGAAAATGCTGAGAGAATGGTCATGTCTAGAACCTGGTGACCATGCTCATGTCAAATTGGCTGGAGAAAGAGGATGGACAACTCCAGCTGTCATAAAGAATTCAGCACTTAGATCATATGTGGTCAAGACCGACAGTGGAGAGTTCAACAGAAACCATTTACATCTACAGTTTGATCCTCAGAAAGAACAATCAACAGATCAAACGCTA